GCTAAAAGCGACCGTAACCAATCCCTCCACAATGCCGAAGTGCTGAAGTGCGTTGTGAAGGGCATTGTGGGAGTCATATGAGTTACCTGCAGGGGGGCCGAAATTGACGAAAAGGGAACCCTTTGATCTCTCTCTCTCTCTCTCTCTCTCTCTCTCTCTCTCTCTCTCTCTCTCTCTCTCTCTCTCTCTTTGCGGCACAAATAAATGTTTTATTTATTATTTTAACTTCTTTTCAATTTTTTTTATTTTTTTTATATATACGTATGTATATATATTTTTTATTTTGTGCACCTGGCGCATCTTCCACAGCACGCGCACTGTGCACTGCGTACAGCGCACAGTGTGCCCGCTGGAATTCCAGTGCACAGCGCACTGCGCACCGCACGCCCCGCGCTGCTCACTGGTGCGCCGCAAGTATGCTCTTGATCTGTTGCTTGATCTCGGCCTCTCTTGCCTCCAAATCCCCCATGTGGGGCTTTCGTTCTTCTGCGATCTTCTTCCACTCTTCTCTTGCCTTCTGTTTTCTTAGCTCGCTCGCAGCCTTCTGCCAACGCATAACTCCCGTGCATTATATCATAGCTATATTTTTTGGTGCAACTTTCAGTCTAGACACAGCGACAATGACCGGGCGGGCAGGCGTTCCATTATGGCCAAGACGGTGGCCAGGGACCAAAATCCTGACACCAACAATCCGATCAGTGCAAACTTTGCAAAGCGACAGAAAACCAACGTGGTCAGGCGGTGCCCCGCATTCACACAGTGATTCACACGCTATACCCAAAAAACTGGTTTACACAACACCATAAAAAACTACTTTGGTGGCATGCCGCCTCTTGTTTGGAAAATTCGATGACACAGATCTCGTACTTTGTTGCTAGGCTGGTCCTCGGGCCGCCCGGCGGCCTGGCCGTCGCCCGGGGGGGGGGCCGGGCCGCCCGGCCGGTTGTCGCGCCCGGTTGGCCACCGGTCGCCCCCAGCGCATCACTGTAGGTCAGGGTTTTTTTTTTTCCGACGCTGGGGCCTTTTTTGCCCCCTTCATAGACCGTGTGGACTGCAAAAAAAAGAAAAACGGGGCCGGTAGGCCCGATTTCACCGATTTGAAATCGGGCCCCATCTGGATCGTTGATCTCGAAGATCGACGGCCCAGATTGCACCAATTTCAAATCGGTGAGGACGGGAACTACCGGCCCTCGTTCCCTCCCCCGTGCTGAAGATGTGCCCCCGACGTCCCCCCTTCCCTGCCTTGCAGCGCTGTGTGTCCGCCGGCCTTCCACGCGCAACTTCAACGCGCTTCTCCGACGCACCCTGCCAGCACCTGCCAACGCCCACCATCGCGCGTGACTCCACGGTCGCCCGGCAACGACCGCCTTCAACAAGGTAAGGGACTTAGTTGAGGGGGGGGAGAGAGAGAGAGAGAGAGAGATCTTCTTCTTCTTCTTCTTCTTCTTTGTCGTCGTCTTCGTTTCTTCTTCTTCTTCTTCTTCTTCTTCTTCTTCTTCTTCGCTTGTTCTTCTTCTTTCCCCCCGTTTCGAGGCCCCCTTCCCGCCGTCCTCCACCACGCGTCTTCTTCTTCTTCTCCCCCTTTGCTTCTTCTTCTTCTTCTTCTTCTTCTTCTTCTTCTTCTTCTTCTTCTCCTCCTCCTCCTCCTTCTTCTTCTTCTCCTCCTCCTCCTCCTCCTCCTTCGCTTCTTCTTCTTCTTCTTCTTCTTCTTCTTCTTCTTCATCTTCTTCTTCTTCCCTTCTTCTTCTTCTTCCGTTCTTCTTCTTCTTTTTCTTCTTCTTCTTCTCCCCCTCCTTCCCTTCTTCTTCTTCTTCTTCTTCTTCTTCTCGTTCCCCTTCGCCACTTCTTCTTCTTCTTCTTCTTCTCGCCCCCCCCCCAACCCCTSCCCSCCMYCCCYCMCMCCATTTCCTTTTTTTTTTTTTTTTTTTTTTCTCTGTCTTGTGCCACACGGGGCCGCGTTTTGGACCTTCCCCCGCAGTGGCCATTTCCCCCAACTTCGTCTCACCCAATCTTTCTTCCCGTCATACTCCACCCTTCTTCTTCTTCTTCTTCCTCCTCCTCCTCCTCCTCGTCCTCCTCTTCTTCTTCTTCTTCCACATACACACCTGCAAGGTCTGTGACATACCAGCACTGACATCCCCCAGACCCCCCGCTGACATCCCTCCCCCAGCTCCCCCCCCCCTCCCTGTTGCATACTCGTGAACATAGTCATAAGTATGGCACAGATCCCCAGAACCGACCAGATAATACAGAGTAAGTACCATTACAGCGGAAGCTTGATACACATGGATTGACTCAAACCTGACTCAGACTGCAACAAATCCCTCACAAACATGCATCGGCAGTGTGAAAGCCCTGGCCTTGGACATAGAAGGGCCAGGGGCTGATCTCATACACAGATGAATGGAGGGGAGGAGAGACGAAGGGAGGAGGAGAGGGAAGATGACGTCAACTCAATGTTTCCAAAATTAGTATCTTGAAATGTCAGAAGTAGCAAAAATCCAAAATGTCGCGAATACAGAGTCTCACAGTGTCCCAGATATTGATCTCCCAATGCCAAGATACATCTCCAGAGGTAGCTGAAGTCAGTTCCAAAAAGTAGTCCTCAACCGAAAGTCTCAATGTTGTTATCTCCAATATCATCAGAACTCGTAACTATCCTTCATCCTTGTAGTAGTCCAGCAGGAGTGACCCGAGAAGTAGACTTAGACTTAGAGGGCCGGAGGAGAAAGAGGGCGGAGGAGGAGAGAGGGAAGAGGGAAGAAAGGCGAAGCCTTTCTCCCTGATACCTGAGTACCGCGCTGTGCCTGCTGATGTCCGCTGAGGCCGAGCCTGGTGATGCAGCTATGGCGCTGCAGAGCTGGGCGCTGGGCTGCGGCAGAGCCAGAGGGCTGGCGCTAATCGCTGCTGCGCTGATCCTCCCCGCTGCTGTGCTAATTCTCCTCGCTGCTCCGCTGTGCTAACACGAAACGCTTTACTAACCTAACGCTGTACTGAGGCTGGTACCCAGCTGATATGGTGCTGGGACGGCCTCAGCACTGCTGGTACCTTCGGGTCTGGACCGTTGATCGGCACAACGGTTCAGATTCGAATTGCCGAAGTCTGAAAGTGGTGCCTAACTTGGCTGCCTTCAAAACTGCGCCACCGGTAGGTCCTGGTGTTGGACCGGTACCGGCCTGGCCATTGTGACCGTTGGCCGACTCGGCCTCTGGGCTGACCTATAGGCCTAAACCGTCGTGACCCTGACCCTAGGCCTAAACTAGCCTAACTACGGAACCGGGCCCTAACCGGGGCCCGTGTGGTGTCAGAATGCCACACACTCCCCCCCTTAAGACCGAGCTACTTGCGAGGGCGAAGCTGTCTGCCCGATGCCCGTGTGCGCCGGGCGGGTTGGGCAGCCTCTTTAGCAAGTCGCTGTTTTTATAATGCGCGAAGATGAGGGGTGCTGTTGCCTTCAGATCAGCTCGTGAAATCCAGCGTGCGTCGTCAGGATCGCATTGCTTGAATGTGACTTTGTACTGCATCGGTTTGTTGTCGTGCTCGCAATGAGCGAGGACACAGTCGACCTCTTGGTGACCGTCCACTGAAGGGGGTCGTGTGACCGTCTGCCCGGAAAATCCGCTGGGGAGGCTGGCGTGTAGACCGCCAGCTTTGAAGCATGAAATGCTGGGTGGATCCTCAAATGCGGGGGAATCTCGATTATGAAGGAGGGACAAGCGGGGTCGTCGCTAGCTGCTGAAGTGACCTTCCATGGCCCAAACCACTTAGGGAGGAGTTTGCGCAAGACGTGCTGCTGGAGCGCGAATTCCTCGGAGGTGACCCAAACAAGGTCGCCGGCGCGGATTGGACATGGGATGCCGCCGGTTCGCTTGCTGCTGCATACGGACCCGAGCCTATTGCATATTTGCACGGGCTTTGGCCAGTAGCCTCCTGTACTTCCGTGTAGAAGCGGGGCAGCAAGCGGCATCGATATCGTCAGCCTGTGGAAGCAAAATGTCCGCGAAGATGCGGCCTTTCCATCCACCGTGATGCAACTCAAATGGAGTCACGCCGATCGCCGGGTGCACCAAGTGTTGTAGGCGAACTCGATGTCGGGATGGCGGTCAACCCAGTCTTTCTGATCCGGGCGGATGAGCGTGCGACGCATCATCTGCGCAGTCTGATGCGCACGTTCCGTTTGCCCATCCGTTTGAGGATGCCGTGCGGAACTTGGTTTCATGCTGGTGTCGGATTCCACCATGAGTGTCGTCCAAAAGGCTGACATGAGATGAGTGTCACGGTCGCTGACGATGTCTTCCGGGACGTCGTGGCTGCAAAACCAACCGGTGTGCAAAAGTCATGCTAGCTCGAGAGCCGTCGCATGATACTTGCATGGAAGAAATCGAGCTACTTGCTCAAACGGTCGACGACCGTGAGAATACCATCATGGCCAAGGGGATCGTGAGGGAAAGGACCAGTCATATCCATGGCAATGGAGAGACCTGGTTCCCGAGGAATCGGCAATGGTTTTAGTTCGTTGTACGGGAGCTGATGGCACCGGTGGCAAACTGCACATGACTGAATGTACCGGTTCACGTCGCTGATGATGTCCAGCCAGTGGAATCGCTGGCGGAGTTGTGCAAGTGTGCGTGCGACGCCAAGGTGTCCCGCCAGCCGCGAATCGTGGTATTCGCCAAGGAGGCGAGTGCGCAAGATGCGGTTTTGGGGAACACACAACGAGTCCTTGCCCCGCGTATGGAGAAGCAAGTAGCCGTCGACGATGCGATAATTGCTTGCCGGCGGGTAATCCGATAATAATTCCGCGTAGAGTGTGGAGAATCCCAAATCCGACTTGTAGCCATTTACAAAATGTTGTTGCAGGTCCTCGTCGAGGCCGAACGTGGAGTGTACCAAGGCGCAAAGATCGGGTCTTCGTGAGAGAGCATCCGCTGCCTTGTTCGAGGGGCCTGGAATATGCTTGGAGGTGAAGTCGAACTGGCCAATGAAATACATCCATCGACCGATCGTGCTGCTCAACGTGTTTTGCGTCTTGTAATAAGTCAACGGATTGTTGTTCGTTGCCCACGTGAATCGCCGACGCCCGAGGAGAAAGTGACGCCAACGCTGAGTATTGTGACAAAAGCTAGCAGTTTCTTCTTCCTCACATCATCCAGGGAATTGATGGGCGGCGCCTTTTGGCTGAAGTACTCAACCGGATGCCAGTCTGTGTCGTCATGTTGCACAAAAACCGCGCCAATGCCGCAGCCGGAAGCATCCGTAGTCACCTTGGTTGGCAAGGTCGGGTCATAGATGCTCAAGACGGGAGCTTGAACCAAGGCCGTCTTCAGCGTATGGAACGCGTGTCGGGCTTCGTCGTTGAACTCGAAGGGCACCAAGGGGGACTGAAGTCGCACCAATGGTGCAGCGATCCGTTGGAAGCTCTTGACGAAACGCATGTAGTATGATGCTAAGCCGAGAAAGGAGCGGACGTCGATAGCACACGCGAGGTCCGACCAATCTTGAATGGCTTGTACTTTGTCCGCGAGCGGACGAGTGCCTTGCGGCGTAACGTAATGGCCCAAATACTCCAACTCTTGCTGGGCAAACTCGCTCTTGTCGCGGTTCCCCTTGTACTTGGCGATATGGAGCCGCTCCAAAATGGAGCGAAGGTGCTCGTCCGGCGACCGGCTATAAACCAACATGTCATCAAGGTAAATGAGTACGGTGCGTTCGAGTAGGTCGCAGAATTTCGCCATCATAGCCGCTTGGATCGTAGTCGGGCATTGGTGAGACCGAAACGCATGACGATCCACTCGAAGTAACCGTACCGCGTCTTGAACGCGGTCTTGTGCCGATCTCTTGGCTGGATCTCGATTTGGTGATAACCTGATTTGAGGTCCAACTTCGCGCCGCCTATTGCTCGAGGAGATCATCGATCTGCGGGAGAGGGCCGGCGTTCTTGATCGTTTGTGCGTCAAGTTTCCGATAGTCAATACACAAACGAAGGTCCTTGTTCTTCTTCCGGACGAAGAGAACGGGAGCACCGTATGGCGAACAGCTAGGGCGAATCCAGCCCTTCGCCAAAAGGTCGTCTAGTTGTGCCCGGAGCACTTGAAGCTCTCTTCGCTCATTCGGTAAATACATATGCGCGGAGGTACGATGTCGTCCTCGAGAGTGATCCCATGTCGTATGGGCCGATCCGGTACTACTCCGATGGGAGCTTGGAAGACATCCTCATAGTTGTCCAAAAGCTCAATGATGCGTGGGTCCGATGTGTCCGTCTTGGGCTGATCAACGGGTGGGAGGGCATGAAGAAAACAAATGCCCATCTCTTTGATGTCGTGTCGGCTGATGGATTGGTGAATGCTCGCCGCGGAGACCACGTTACAACCAATCAAAGGATGAGGAAGCGGCACCGTGCACGGGGCTAGTTCGCCACGCCGATCACAAATGTGAACGGTGAGGTGAAAAAAGTTTACCGGATGGTCGTCGCTTTGCAGCCACGACATACCTAACATCATATCGAACTTGGTGCCCAAGATGTCGAATGACACGGCCTCGCATGCTAGCGGGGCAAAGTACACGGGCACGGAGTCAACGCAGCGGTCAATTGACTTTTGCATGTGACCATCGGCCAACGTGATGTGCGTAGGCTGACTTTTCCTTCGAACGCGCAAGGCCAAAACCAGCACGTGCCATGAAGTCTTAGATGATATAGTTGCGAGTCGCTCCACAATCGATCAAGGCACTCCAGGTCGCCTTTTCGATCTGAATGCGGATGTAGAGGAGCGGCGCATCGATGTCGACGTACCGTTGAGTTTCGTGCTCGCGGTCAATCTTCGCGAGATAGCTGCAAAGGTCGACAACCGCTACTCCGTCGTCCGTCGACGGAGGTGGTACTGTAGCGTGCAAGTATTCGCGCAAATATGCCATGAGGGCGTTACAATGCAGTGTTGGCAAAGAACCGGTGGAGGGAAGAGGCAACCATTGGAAGTCCTCAACGGGTCGAGTTCCTCAAGACTCGCCCAAGTTGACGGATCCTCCGATAGAAGGGCTGGCAAAGCAAACGGTTCGTTGTCCGATGGCAGTAACATCGCGCATGCACTTGAATCTTGCACGTGGAGAGGCTGGTTCAACGGCGAGACCAGGTGGACAGCATAGTTCTCGAAGTCAATCCGAGAACTTGCGACTACCGCGGCATCCCCGGACGTGAGAGAGACTGCAGGCAAGGCAGCCGAGTACAGCGGACTGGAAAGTGATGTCGCTGCACTTCCCGCAGTGCTCAGTTTCCCGGGCCTGGACGCTTGACATTTTCTTTGTCCTTTTCTGGGCACGTATTAGTGATGTGTTTGGTGTTGTTGCACCATAAACAGCATCCCCATTTCTGTCGTAACTTGAACATGTCTTCGGCGATCCCGAACTTTGTCCATGGTGACTGTCTCGCTCCATCCGCCGACGCTGTTTTCTCCTTATGTTTTCCCCCACGGGTTCTTGAGCGTTGCGGTGGTATCGCTGCTGCCACATCTTCGTCACTTGATGTTGAAGCGGCTGCGTGGTCCTCACTAGATCCTTGCTGGATCGCTGCTACGTACGGCGTCCGCTGACCTTTGCTTCTCTCCACGTAACCGGGCTGCTGGCAGGCCTCGTTGGCCGCTCGCCGGTTACCTTGTATGAGTTCCCTTGCCTTGGAGATCATCTCATCAAAGGTCTCATACTGAAATTCGCTGCCAAGGGCAGCTGTCAAGGCCTCGCAAGATCGGGCGAAGAACTCGGCCCGGACTGAGTCGAACAGCAGGTTCAACTCCGGGGTGCCGACGAGTCTTTGCCACTCCATCAGCCATTCCCGTGATGGTTGCTGGCCTTGAAACATGCGGAAGATCTTGTACACGTGCCTTTTGTCGTTGTTGACCATGAACCGGGTCTTCCATTTCTTTTCGAAGTCCTCCCAAGGTATCTTGGTGTGGAGGGTGGCGATGGTGCACTCCAGCGTGACGGCCATATGAGTCATGAATGTTTGTGCCCCCCCGATGAGCTGGTGGTAGAGCGCGTCAAGCCGCCGTGCCGGTGGGACGTGATGTGCGTCCGCCTCCCCGTTGAATGCCATCCACCACTGCAGCGGATCGGTCTTGTGGTAGTCGTCGAATTTCTCGATCTCGAAGTTCGGCATTTTCCATTCCTTGACGACGGCAGCCGTTCGTTGTTGAACGCGGTCGCTGAGCGTCTGCAGCTGATTGCTGACCGTAGACGTCCCCACAAACTTGCTGATGTCGCCAAGGGATGCGACTACGTGGTTGATCCGTTCTTCGAGTTGCTTAGTTTGAGCGGCCAAAGCTGGGCTGCACTCTGAAACTGCACTGCCCGTCGACTCAACTGCAGATAGTTGTGCCAACCCTGTGCTGACACTGGTCTGCAGCTGATCGTTGGTGGTCTGCTGGTGACTGCAGGCGGCCTGCAGTGTGCTGTTCTCGGCCAGCCAGCGTCCGAAAAGTTCCTTCGTAGCGGATGAAGATCTGTCGCATGGCCATCAGTTCACGTTGCCGCCAATTGCATGTGTACAGCAGATTTTCCATCAATGCTGCTATGGCCTCCTTGGTTCTCTTTTCCTCGGTCCGCTCCTCTTGTTCTTCGGTTGCTTGAAAGTGCTGTTGTCGAAGTAACCTCCGGTATGTAGATTCGTCGTTGGCGAGCTCCATGTGGCTTGGCAACGAACTTGATTTTGGCTTGCCTCGACCTGCTGTTGCTGTAACCGTGCGGCTGCTGCAGCTTCTGCTGCGGCCCGCTGACGCGCTGCCTCGGCCTCTGCCAGCTGGCATTGAGCCGCCTGCCAGCGGGCGGCTTCCTCCTGTTCCCATTTGCGAAGTTCAGCTGCAGCAGTCTCCGTGTATAGTTGGAGACGTTCGAGAAACGCTAGTTGCGTTTCATCTGCCTGCTGAACTGGCATGGGAGGAGTAACCGGCCTCTTGGGGCTGTCTTGTGTATTGGCGTCAGCGGCCTCGGCCATGGTCGTGCGTCGTTTCCACGGGATCCGAGGTGACTTGGGACCCTGTTGGGGCTGAGTTCGCTTGGATCCACGCTCAGCAAGTCGTTGACTGCGGCGCATCTAGCATTCCTGGCTCCGCGTTGTAGCTGACGTGTCACTGTTGAAAGTGGCACAACGCTGACGTGGCCGGAGGCTGAAGTCCACCTAACCGAGAGGAGGGGAGAGAAGGTAGGGGTGGGAACAAGGGAGGGAGGCAAGCAATGCACAGACAGTCCCTTTTGCCCTGACCTCGGACCTGACGCATGATCGAGAAAAAAAAAATCCCCCCCGAATTTTATTTTATTTTTATTTTGAAAATTTTAATTAAATATTTAATTCTTTTAATTAAGTAAATAAAAATAAAACTTAATTAAAAAAAAAATACTTTGGAAAAAATTAAATATCTAATTATCATTTATTTTTTTCTAAATAAATATGATTAAAATATCTAATTATTAATTAAAGAATACTTTAATTCTTTTAATTAAAAAAATGAAAATAATACTAAATTAAATAAAATTTTACTTTGGCAAAAATTAGTTAAATAATTCAAGAAATTTAATCGGGAGTTTTCAGCATCACTAGATGACCCGTTGCAGCTTCGCCCGAAAAACAGAAAAAGAAAAAAGCACAAAAGAAAGAAAACGCATAAGGAACTGCCCTATCATATGCTGCTTCTTTCACAATAAGAAAAAGAAGAGCCTGAGAGCAGATGAAAACCCGCGTGCAAGAAAATAGCAGGGAATACCACCGAACATTCTGTTTCTTTATCTTTGCGGGTTTTGTTTGGGAGCCGTTACCTTTGCAGCATCGTTTTTGTTTTGTGCTGTGCAAGAACTCTGGACTTCTCTGAGAAAATCCAGTCCGTCGTCCCGTTGATGTTTTTGGTAAAGATTCAGAATCAGACTTTGTTTGCTGTGTTCTCTGGATATGTTTGTGATCAAGCGATCTTGCATGTATGCCCCATGCTTACTCGTTGATTTTTGACACTATGTGTGCAAGTGCATGCACGTGTGGGTGAGTCTCAGTTTGGTGGGCTCCGATGATGTCAGTGATGATTGGCCCGGGGAAGGTGCTGGAAGGCGCCTCCAACTATAGGACTGCTGCTGATGTTAAGCAGGTTTTGCATTGTATGAATAAAACAATCAGCATTCAATCTGCTTGGCAGTTGCTCTTCGAGTGGGGGACTTGTCGGGAGTAGCATTGCCATGAGAGCCATAATGCCAGGCGTGCATCTTGGAAAATTTCCAGGAAGGTAAAAGGCAAAAAAGAAACGTATCACGTGTCAGAGTCACATAGTGGACAGCTTGGCACAGTCCCCCCCTTCTCTCTCTCTCTCTCTCTCTCTCTCTCTCTCTTCCCCCCTTGACTTCGAACTTGGAACCCTTTACTCCACCCCGACCTTCCCCTAACACCACCTCCCCATTCGCCCCCCCAGCCTGTCAAACCCCTGAGGAGTCGGTGAATAGTCCGATTGCGCCACGTGGCTGGAGTTGTGTATAGAGAACATGACAACACACCAAACAAAAAAGAACAAAAAAGAGAAAGGCAAAACAGCCTGCGC